CCTCTGGCGCCACCCCTGGGGACAAGGCATTCAATTTGTATTTCAACGCAGTTGCACTGCAGTACATGGGTATTCGTTGATAATAGTTTATGGAATTCAATATTTAATATTATCAGATATCATTAATTGACATTTTAACCTTGTCAGAGCGCGTTCGAACAATTTTTGAGTACTATATTTTGCAAATGTAAAGTAAACAAGGTGTTTTAATAAACTGGGGGTTTAGTGTGCCTAAAATATTATATAAGAAATATCAAAAGTTACACTATTGATTTATTTGGAAAAACATCGATAGGGCGAATTTTAAAGTTTTATTTACCTTTGTTTTCACTTCGCCTGTGTTAGATCTTTTGCATTTTAATACATAGTCATTAACGGTCGCCTCACAAAAGTCAAGATTATCCCATCGAATTAATCCATCGTTGTCGTTTGGTTTCATTTCTTCATGAAGCAAATCTCCACATTTGTATGCAAATTGTTGAGGTGCTGTTACAAGATCATTGTGCCTTCTTAAAAACATATCTTTAATGACCGACCGAAGTTTATCATTACTAAAAGACTGTTCCTCGACTTTCTGAAAATAAAGTTCGACTGAACAGTGGTTTCTTCATTCAAGCATTATTTGTTGTCGGGAGGGGTAATAAGGAGAGGGGTTATATAAAAAATTCATATTTCAATAATTGCTTAATCTTGTATAGGCTTATCATCGTTCATATGTATGTATCTCTTAAGCCGGTTTTCTACTAGGCGAATTTATTCGAGCGAATCAAAGCGTCGGTTCGCTTCCTGAGCTCTTTTGTTTTTGTTTTTGCAGCGCATTGAGACTTCGGTATAATGCGCTATACCAAATCCCACTACATTACTACATTACATTACATTGTTTGCGTATTTTTTCGCTTCGCAAAAACCCAATAGAAATGTGAATGCGCATGCGTATGAACTGACACTTTCGATTCGCGCGAACATCTTTAATTAGCAAGGACAATTTTCCTATACAAATCGCATCAAATTTATTTTATAGTTTTGAAATGAACAATTCAACGTTTTCATCGAATTTGAAAGAAGTTGCAGATGTTACCACATTATTTTTAATAATAATAATAATAATAATTATTATTATTATTATTATTATTATTATTATTATTATTAACAGTTATTATTGTCGATGCATGTAACAATAATTTTCGATTTATAAATTGTAACTAACGTACTAAGATTAGCACATCGACAATAAAGTGTTAAATTATTACTTTATTAATATTTCATAATAGGCCTTTTTTAAAATGACCTCAAAAATATATCTAGGTCGTATATTGATTAAATCAGGCTTACCGCAGACGTCGAAGAATACAAGTTTCTGGATTTTCCTTCATTCATGGTTAAACTAACGTACTGACATTTTGGTTATCATAAAGAGACTTACATTTATATCGCTAATCAAACTATAGAACAAGCGTATTTCATATTATATTTAAAAAACATACATATTCTAAGATTAGCACATCGACGATAAAATGTTAAATTATCACTTTATTATTATTTCATAATAGGCCTTCTTAAAATGACCTTCAAAAATATACCTAGGTCGTATATTGATTAAATCAGGCTTACCGCAGACGTCGAAGAATACAAGTTTCTGGATTTTCCTTCATTCATAGTTATACCTATACAAATTTGATAAATAAACATACGAGCTTTTTGACTCTTGTAAATCGAAAATAATCGAAATCATAAAAAGTATAGACCTAGCTTTGATTTCCATGCATTGGCTAACGGTTTCGTAGGTTTATTAGAGTTTAATGCTTGTAAACATAAATGGAGAGTCTAAAGTTGTTCATGTGTCAGAGAAAAAATTGACAATTTCTACAAAATTTCAATTAGCATTAAGAATTCATATACATAAGAATAATTAGAAATAAGAAACAAACATTACCAGTACTGTAAATGAAATACAGTGTTGTGTCTTTCTGTCCCTGCACGAGTTTAAAAAAAAGTCAAATATCCTCTATCTATGACTGCATTATCTGCGCACCCACGAACCAATCCTTAGGGTACCGTAATGAAACGTTATACCATGGTTATACGAAAGCCAAGTTAAATCTTTATCTGTTTAGACCCGCCTACCTTAGAAAATGATTGCTCAATGTAAATGTTGATTGGCATGGTTGGTAGTAGATTACTTGGAAAATATGTAAATGCTCTGTAGTAACAAATCACGTGACCAAAATTCCAACCTTGCGTATAATTATAATTAAGCCTAAATTCGCAGTAACTGCGCGCGTTATGAATCTACATAATTAGGTGCAACTAACCACACTGTTCAGAGTGCCAGTTCAACAGAACAGTAAGTACGTGATTATTTTCAACTGATAAAATTAGTTATTAGGCAATTACTTACAATGATAATGGAACTATTCAAACATTCGTTTCTCGAAAAGAACTTTTGTTTAATTTCTTTCAGTAACTTTTTAGATGAAACGGTTGCTCGTTTTCTCTAAATCTAAAGATTATTTGCTCAATTTTTGAATTACTGATTTTTTAAGATGTAGAATAACCTTTAGGCCTGTAGATTTGTAGATTTTTATTTAGTTTGTACTAATAAAGCTCAGTCCATTATAAAATTTTTCTTTGAAAAAAAGTTGTTTTGTACACTCATATACTCATGTCATCATGACCATATTTATGCATGTCACATTTTTATTATTATAGGCAGTATCTTCAACATTAAGAGTAGACTTATTTCAAATTCAGGGGCTTGAATTTTGAAGCTTTTGTATAATTATTTCTAATGTATTTTGATTAGATTTGCTCATTTTAATTTTTGTAAACACATTGAACAGTTTGTTGTAATTGAAAATGTATTATTATTATTATTATTATTATTATTATTATTATTATTATTATTATCATCATCATTATTATTACTATTATTATTATTATTACTATTATTATTATTTTATTATTATTATACTACATCCTCAGAAATAAAGATAATTGTTATTAATTGAAAATGCATTATTATTATTATTATTATTATTATTATTATTATTATTATTATTATACTACATCCTCAGAAATAAAGATAATTGTTATTAATTGAAAATGCATTATTATTATTACTTTTATTATTATTATTATTATTATTATACTACATCCTCAGAAATAAAGGTAATTGTTATTAATTAATTATTCAGTATATTTTCCAGATCCAAACTTAACAAGAGCACAGATACGACGAATCCAACTTCGCTCCTGTCAGGGCTAAACGACGAGACGCCGTCTGGCTGCTTAATTTAGTCGTGGCAGTCTGAACGGATCGTCGTTAAAAACGACCAGTTGCTCGCGCGCGTATTTGCGTTGCGTTCTGCACAGGATAGCCTTCGGTGCAGTGAGTGTTCGGTTTAGGTGATAGAAGAATTTAGTGTCATTGCTTGTTCTAAGTGTGTTTAGGCAGAATTGAGAAGAATGAAATAACTTTAATAGTAGACTTTAAAAACACTATTTTATTTCTAGTTAAGAAAGAATTTTTCAAAAATAGTTTAGAACGAGAAATAGCTGAACAGAAAATAATTACACAATATATAATATGTATAGAACTAGGCCTTAACATTGATCGAGGATTCCTCGCACATTACCGTCAATAATTATTTCTCATCACTGTATGTATATTTTTATATTTCTATAGCTGCCTTATTATTAACTATATTTTTGTCTCATTTCTTGCTTTGTACACCATTCTTTGTTGTTTTAGGACCGCCCCCATTATTTCAGTTGTATATTATAGTTGTTTCTTATCCCATTTGTACAGTCTCCTGATGAAGTCCACTGTGTG